GCGGCTCTCTGGCGGGCCCCTGGAGCTCCCCCCCAGGTCCTCTGGCCCCGCCCCTCAAGCCGCTTCTGCCCCAGGACTTACAGGAGGCGTTGGGGAGACAACTAGACACAAATCTTAACTCTGCATGACCCTCAGAGCTCTCCGTCCACTACCCATCCACCCCAGCCTTCCCATCAGCCTTTTGGCTATCATCTGTTAGTGACCTCTGTGGATGCCCTATGTGGGCCAAAGGTGGACATGACTTCCCCTCCTTCCTGCCACACGCTTACTGTCCGTGCCTCCATCGTCAATCAAACCTCCCCCATGAAGTTTTCCCACCTTCGCAAGCCCTATCCTGAGTTTCCTACATGCCCCGGGGTCTGTGTCAATTCTTTTTTCCTTCACCTTGGAGCCAAGTTTTCCTTGCGGGTTCAGTATCTCTCTTCTAACTCTGTCTACACCCCTGCCCTCTGGTCCTCTCCTGGACCCAAATCCTTGCTCTTGGACTGCTTTGGGGATAGACCTGTTTCAATATTCTCTCAGACTCGAGATCTGCAGCACATTCTCTAACTTAAGTTGTTTACAGCAAGCGTGGATCAGCAGAGGGGGCAGGGTGAAAAGTCAACCTGAGGGGAAACCAAAACAAGTGGGTTCCTCCCATTTGCAGCTCAGCTTATGTTCCCTGCTGACCAAGGATTGGCCAAACATGTAGAAGGACCACTGTGAGTTCAAGGCCAGCCTGGGCTTTGCAGTGAGGTCAAGACCAGCTTGAACCACACACCATGACCCTGACTCAATCATCCGTCCAGCTTCCTGAGATGCCTCCCTTTTTGTTCTTGATGTCTCTGTACAGAAAGAGATAGAATTTGCTTTATCTCTCTTGGCACTGTGATAGGTCGTTTTGGTTGTTTTTATTTTTGAGACAAGGCTTTGCTATATAGTTTAGGCTGCCCCTAAACTAACTATATAACCTAGCCTGGCCTTGAACTTGTAGCAGTCCTCCTGCTTCAGCCTCCCAAGTGCTTGCTTGCGTGCTTGCTTGCGTGCTTGCACGCTTGCTTGCTTGCTTGCACGCTTGCTTGTGTACCTGCTTGCTTTCACTTAAGGACTTATGTATTTAATTGTGAAACTTTCTCAGCCACAATCTGCCCATATTCTCTGTCCCTATTTCCTTTATCCTCTTCCTGTAATCCCAGTCAGCATTTCACAGAGCCAAACTGCCTTACAACAGCTTTTCAAAGTGCTTCTGTGTGCATTTCCCCTGCCTGGTATTCTGTGTGAATTCTTCATTGCTGGTCTCCAGTTGGCAAGTTATTCCCTCAGCTATGTTCAACTTAGGTGCCCAGGAGATAGCTCAGTGGTCTAAGCACCTGCCTGGCAAGTGCAAGGCCCCAGGTTTGATCCCTGGTACCACATGCCATTCTGGCCCTATGCCCAAGCTGACCACTGAAACCCAGTGTGATGGTGCATGCAAATAATCCCAGTGCAGGGGAGGCTGACACAGGAGAATGATTACGAGTCTGAGCTTCGTAGTGAGATCTTGTACTAAATAAATTAAGATTTAAAAAAAAAAACCATGTTCAACTTAGAGTGTATTCTACTCTCTGTCTTGAGTTTTAGTTTCCAGTACATTCAATATTTTTTTTTTATGACTAAGATACAACAAAGCCCTGGTACTTTCAGAGCTGTGAACTGGGAGATCCATAATGTGTCCGTAGGACTTATTGGCCAGGGGAGACAGCAGGCAACCTCACAGCTGTGACATCACCTGTCCCTCTCATGTATGTCTCAGGAGCTGGAGCAGAGAGCGCCAATGAATCTCCTGCTATTGCTCTGCCCAGTTATGAATTTTGAATATTTTTAGCATGACTGAATTAAAATCCTTCCTTTCCCATGTTTCAAACACAGACATTTTGCCAGATGTGGTGGCACCCACCTCTAATCCCAGCACTTGAGAGCCTGAGGATGGAGCACCACTGTGAGTTGGAGGCCGTCCTGGTCTCTGTAGTGAGTTCAAGACCAGCCTGAACCACACACAAGACCCTGACTGAAAAACAAACAAACCAGGAACACATTTTGAGAATAACAAAGACCTATCAACCTGTTTTGTTTTCTCTACATATTTTGAAAAACACAGGACTTATGTGACAGAGGGAGGTCACTCTCAATTCTTATTTGTCCCATGTAAGTGTTACAGAACAGGGTATGGAACCTTACCTGCCTGTAACAGGCAGGCCCAACCCAGGACTCTATGCACCTGGGCTACAGAAAGCCAGCGTTTCCCAGCCTGTGCACTTGCATCTGTTCTCTTGCCTACTGCAGAGCGGATGCTGTTGTGGTTACGTCGAGAATCCACCACCAATTGTGAAAATATGTTTGGGGTCTCAAGGCTTCCTGGGTGGGTTTGACATGCTGCCTTGACATGGCCCCCTTGGGCTCTGTGCAAAGGGGCTGCCACCCTTGGCTTAGCTATGAGGCTGGAAAGCCCCCGAGCCAGCTAGAGCTCACTTCCGGGAGACGGAGTGGAATGGCTGTTTTCAAGCAGTACACCCCCAAATCCAGCCACCCTCATGCTCAGGGACCTGGTTCTCCAGCTGCAAATCTCTGGAGGTGGACCTTGTGCCCTTTTCACTAGAAAGGTATATTATTGTTTCCATCTACCCTCTTTACCACCCTTTGGATGGCATCCTATGGCCAGAAGGGTCACAGGGGGTCCTCTTCCTGCCATGGGGACAGCGACCGGGCAGAATGGAAAGCTGCTGTCTTATGTAAGGCGCACTGTGTTGGTGACCTGTCTGAACCTAGCTGCTTCCTTGTCCTCCTCATTCATCTGAGTTGAGGAACAGCACAGTGTACAGACACACATACACACCAGTCATTGCAGAGATTTTGCCTCCCCCTCCTCCTTCATCTTCCATTTGAAAATGCTCCATGTGCTACTGTAATGCTCAGTAATGCAGGTGCCTCCATCACAGCAGAACTGACGCAGCCATCGCATCAGCTGAGACACTCCTGAAATGTCCACTAATCATAGATTTAAGTGATGGAATGCATATGTAAAATGTACCCATTTAGAAGAATGGGGTGAGTACCAGGAATATAGCTGAGCAGTACAAGTGCCTGCCTGGCTCGTGCAAGGTCCTGAGTTGGATTCCCAGTACCACACACACACACACACACACACACACACACACACACACAATGGGGTGGGTCAGGCCTGGTAGCATGCTTGTAATCCCAGCACTTGGAAAACTGAGGCAGGAGGATCTCTTTGAGTATCAGGCCAGCCTGGGCTATAGAATGGGCTGAAAGCCACCCTAAACTACATAGTGAGACTCTGTCTCAAAAAGCCAACAGGTAAATGAATGAATGAATGAATGAATGAATGAATAAATAAATAAATAAATAAATAAAATGGATCTACATCTGCTGACATAAAAAGTTTTCCTCCTGCTAATTAGTAAAAGTTGCAAAAGATGTATCTATGTTAATAACCGCACGAGTCTAAACAATGCATACTCATCTGTTTGAGCACAGATAGTATCTGAGGAACACACTCAACTGTAACAGTGGTTTTCTCTAAAGTGATGACAGCCAAGAGCGTTGAGACAGAGGACTTTGTATTCATCTTTGGCATTGTCTGATGTTTTGCAAGAATAAGTCATGCTTATCAGGCCTGTTGGTGCACGTCTGTACTCCTAATATTCTGGGTAGTTAATGCAGGAGGACCACGAGCTTGAGCCCAGCTTGGGGTACTTAGCAACTAGTGAGATCCTGTTGCAAGATAAAAATAAGAAAGGGCTGGGGATGTAGCTCAGTGTGAAGGCTATAGATTCAATCCCCATGCCCGACAAAAGAATTTTTTTTTTGAACTCAGGACCTTGTGCTTGCCAGACAGGCACTGTGCTGCTAAGCTACATCCCCAGCCCAAAAAGAATATTCTTATAATTTAAGACATTTAAAATTGTTTTTTTCTAATATAAAATGTTCCATGTCATGCTAGGGTGCTGATGCTGGTGAAATCAAAATAATACACACACGCTGGGCATACAGCTCAGTAGTAGAAACTTGCCTAGCATGGGTAAGGCCCTAGGTGCTATCCCTAGCATCACAATATATAAATGACAGAAACAAATAAGCAGATAAAAAGCATGCAACACTTGTTCACTTTCATTTAGACCCCGTCAGAGGGGCACCATTCAGTGGACACAGCTCAGCCCATGCAGTGCTGTGACAGTCAGGGGGTGGACCTCATGAAGGCCCGCTACACCACCGGGCTCCAGAGTGGAGGCAGACTAGGAGGCTGGGTTCCTAGAATTTGCAGTAGAAATGCGAAGCAGGTCCAGTATGGGGTCCTAAGCAGGAAGGGGGCAAAACACTAAAGAAAGGGGAGGAAGCCTTGCTGCTGGGGCTGGAAGGTTTCAGGACAGCGACAGGCAAGAAGGAAGAGACCTTGTGGGGCAGCGACAGAGGAGACACAACTGCTTCTGTCCTCACCCCCAACAAGCACATTTCTTTCCCAACACCCAGCCCAGGGGAGGAGAGGCAGTGGAGAGAGGATCCCGGAGCCTGGGCTCTCCAAGCCCGTGAGGCTAGAAGGAGCCAGTGCCCACCCAAGGGCGTGAACCAGACCAAAAGCACCGGTGGCTGCAGCACAGCACCGGCGACTAGGCCGCTGCCCTGGCCTGCGAGATGAGGCTGTGGGGGAAACTGGAAGCTGTGGCAGGTCAAGCAGGCCTGGACTGCCCTTCTCCAGGTCACCCATTCCTCTTCCATGTCCAGGCTCAGCGCCCTACTTGAGAGCAGAAACCCCAAGATGAAGGAACGAAGGAACCACAGAGGCTCCTCTCCTCTCATGCCTCTCTGGTTTCTTGAAAGCTTTCTGTCTCTTCACCCGGTCTTCAGGGTCATTTCTAGGCGCTTTTCCTGGCCCCCAAGTTCAGTTTTCAGTGCCCACAGTTGCTCCCCCAGGCTTCTTTCACAGCTCCCAGCCCCCTCTCTGGGCTGGAAGGTGACAACCGCTCAGAGGGCAACTCTCCACCGCGGGGGCTTTGGGTGACATCACATCCTCCAAATTCGACGTTGCCTTGCAGCAGGCCCGCCAGAGCGCGCGACTTCCCCACTCCGCGTGCCCCTGGGCGAGGAGCGCGATGGCCCCGCGGGGGAGCGCCTGGCTGCTGCTGCTGCTGCTGCTGCAGGTGGCCCTGCTGCTGGGTGAGTCGGGGCCCGGGGCAGGGCTGGGGCAGGCGGTGGGGGAGGCCGCTGCTCTGTGCTCAGCCTTGCTGCTTCCCGAACACCCTGCAGATGCCGCTGAGGCCCAAGGGAACCAGTTCCGAATGTCGCCCTCCCAGCTGGTCGCGCGAGTCGGGGACAAGGTGACCCTGCGCTGCGAAGTGCTGCTGCCCAACGCACCTTCGAGCTGCTCATGGCTCTTCCAGCCCCGCCAAGTCTCCAGGAGCCCCACGTTTCTCCTGTACCAGATGATATCCCGGACAAAGTTTGCCCAGGGGCAGACGCGGTTGAGCAGCTCGAAGAGCGGCAACACCTACACCCTCACCCTGACTGGCTTCCAGCAGCAGGACGAAGGCTATTATTTCTGCTCGGTATCCGCCAACATGATGCTCTACTTCAGCCCTTTCATTCCTGTCTTCCTGCCAGGTTCGGATGCAGGGGGCTCACCCCTGAACGGTCTTTCACTTTATTCTATGTCTTTGTTTTTTGAGGCAGGAGTTTGCTATGTAGCTCAGGCTGGCCTGGGACTCACGGTGCCCTCCTGCCTCGGCCTCCCGAGTGCTGGGGTTGCAGGCAAGCTCTGAACGGGCTTTCATGCCTCTTCACCCCCTGGGGGCTACTTAGATACTATTCCCACTACACAGACGGGAAACCAAGGCCACAGTGCGGCTGAAGAGGGATGCGAGAAGGCTTTTTGTCCCCAGTGACCTAAGCTGAGGTGCTTGTGTAGCGCTGGGCAAACTACTGAAATTGCTTGTGCCCCAGTACCATCTGGGTAGTACCCCAGTGTCCGGGCTCCTAGGTAGTTGCTGGGGGGATGGAGGGCTGAGCAGAAGGCAGCGGCTTTGTCCTGGACGACAGGGTCGGCGCTATCCCTGCCCTTGGGTAAAGGAGTGTCCCGGGGGCGCTGGGCGAGACCCGCCGAGGAGTCCGCGATCCTTGCCAGCCCCCGCCCACGCACCCCATTGCTCCCGCAGCCGCTCCCACCACGCCTCCCCCTCCGCCTCCCCCCACGCCGGCGCTCAGCACGCTGCCCCCGTCAGCGCGCCCCGAGACTTGTGTGCCCTCCAAGGGCCGCTCAGGTAAGGAGGGCCACAGATGACACTCACTGAGCGGGTAGCCCTGATCCCAGAGGGCAATCCAGATGTGGGGGAAACAGAGTCCGGGGCAGGGCGTGGTGCTTGGGATGGCAAGCTAAAAGTCGAAGTTTCCGTGTTGTGGGCAGGCGTGAGCTGGCTGGATCTGGACTGTGATACTCACATCTGGGCACCCCTGGCCGGCACATGCGTGGTCTTTCTTCTGTCCCTGGTCATCACTATCGTTTTCCACTGCAGTAAGTTCTGGGGAACCACGGTGGGGGAGGGGGCTGTCCCACACCCACCCTTTGCTCCCGCTCCCGGGGCGGCCGGTGAGAGGAGACAGGGCTCACGTTTTGGGGATTCCGGAGCTACACAGCAGGACTAGGCGCAGCGGGTTTTCCCTGGAGATCTGAGGCAGGAAAGCCTTCCCGCCCCTCTCCACCCCCTGGGGAGTTTTGGAAACGGCGTCTTTTTCCCAAGCTGCAGGAGCACGTGTTACAGCTGCGAAGCTTAGCAGCCGGAGAACCACTCGTTGCAGAAAGCAGCGAGGGTGTGTGGGGGTGTAAGTCTGGGACCTGTGCCCGGGAAGCCATTTCCCTCCTATGGTCTCCTTTTTGTGCCCTGGAACTGCGACTGGTCCACGGATTTGCCCTGCCCCTGCCCACGACCCTTCAGCTGTCTTCAGATTCCTACAGGTGACAGTGCCCGCGCAAGTCTGCAGAATCGCCATGATCACCGACATCTGCTGGGTGAACAATGCGGTTCTCACCCGTTTACATTTGTGGTGCAACGTTTGCAGGGTTTTAATAATTGATGTTTGAGGAGAGGAAGTAGGAAAAGAGGGGGAACTGCGTCGCGAGACCACTGACACTCACTTTTCCCCTTTCTTCTTATCCAGGGAGCAAACGTCGCGTTTGCAAATGTCCCAGGTGAGTCTCTTATCCCTGGGCTTGGTCACCTGGTCCTGGCTTCCCACAAGCGGGGACTGGGAACCTCTCCTAGAGAGTGGCGGGCAGCGGGGGCTGAGGTCTTGGGAGCAGGAAGTAAGCTAAGCCCTGAACAGAACAAGCTGAGGGCCAGGGATATGGTTGTGTTTTGTTGTTGTTGCTGTTATTTTTGTTTGTTTTTTGCGTGGTTCCCCCCCCCCAACCAGGGATTGAACTCAAGCCCTTGCCAGGCAAGCGCTTATTCTACTGAGCCATCTCCCCGGCCCCTTGGCTGAGTCTTGACAGAGGAGAGCGCATGGGCAAGACCTCTCTGAATCTCCACTCAGCTTGGCACCAGAAAGCCACCAGAGGGCTTCCTTGGGTTCTATCTCCTCAAATAACTGTGGCCCTCTTTTTTGGGGAGTACTTCCATCCAGATTCCTCCGCTTTCTTGAGAAACCCCGGTTTCCCTTCCATGGTCTCTTTTTTGGAGCAAAGGCCTCTGGTCCTAGTTCCTCTATGTCAACACCAAGCCTTGAATCGTTGCCAAGGATGGGAGGAGGAGTAATTAGTTCTCTCAGCACCTCAAGTGACTTTCTCATTCAGTTCAGCCCAGGCATTCTGAAAGGTTCAGAAAGATTAAACATTAAAAGGAACAGTTAATGCTTAAGTTTTTTTCTTCTTTATAATTTTTTTTACCAATTTACATGTTTATATTTGGTAATCTGAATGATTAATTTGAACACAATATGCACTATAACCGTTGTTAAATTCCTATCTTGTTTAGTGAAATTCTGTATCGTTTTGAATATATTTATTATTCTCTTTTTAAAAAGGAAATAATTTATAACAAAAGAGGAAGAAAGAAAGAAAAAAGAAAGACAAGACAAAACCAAATCCTTCAGTAAGACAGGCCCTCAGGCTCTGCTCTTCCTGAGACATCTCAGCCATGATGGAGCCCGGCACTGTGATGTCGCTTATTCCCACAGCAGCCACCTATGGTAGCCGTCATGGTCCCCACTCCCAGATCTCTGCTTCCCAGAGGCAGGACTCCACTGGGATTACCATCTGCCCAAACCCTACAACTCACTTATGGTCATCTCTCCCCCAGCTCCTTGAGTTTTACCTCCTCCCGACTCAACCAACCTTGCATAGCAAACACTTTTTTTTTTTGTGGAACCGGGGATTGAACTCAGGCCCTTGTGCTTGCCAGGCAAGTGCTTAATCTACTGAGCTATCTCCCAGGCCAAAAATACATTTTTAAAGAACAGATATTTCCCCCTTTGTCATTATTCCCTAAACAATAGAGTAGTATCAGCCTTTTACACAGCACTGATATTGTATTAGGGGCTGTATATAATCCAGAGATGATTTAATAGTTTGTCCAAAGCCACCTTGCCTCCAAGGACCAGTTATGACATCCATCTCCAAAGCTCAGTCAGTGTTAGAGGTAACAACTAAATACTTAATGTTTTATATATGAGCTTCCATTTGATACTCATATTTCTCTCCAGGAATCCAGGCTCCCCCCCCTCCCCCCCCCCCCCCCCAAACCTGGGATTGAACTCAGCCCCTTGCACTTGCCAGGGAAGCGCTTATTCCACTGAGCCATCTCCCCGGCCCCCAGGCTCAGCATCTTTAAGAATTATTATTTTAAACAGTGGAGATGCAGGACTCTGAAAGCTGAGAAAGCCTTTTACTATTTTTATTGCTTAGAGCATAGCTGTGTACTTTGACAAGAATAAAGCCTGCCCTGAAATATAAAGCTATGCAGATTAAACTCATTTGTGGGATACACACAGCTGAGTGAAGACAGTGACTCCAGGGCTATGGACTTCAGAGAGTTTTGAGGGACAGGGTATGTGCACATGACATTCCTGACAAATGAGCTCCTTTAAGAGTGTCCTGGGTTAATTTAACTCCAATTTGTTTGGGTGGTCAAAGGTCATTTTAGGCCAGGTGGCTAGAGCTAAGGTCTTGCCCTTATCCTTGTGATCCTTGGGGCTGAGAGGCAGGTCGGCCCCAGATTGTCACCTCCCTGGTGACCTAAAAAAGACTATGAACACCTAGGCTAAGGGCTCAGACGCTGCCTCAGCCTCCTCTAGTTTTGTGACCGTGTATGGACTCCACTGTTGCTGCTCTTGTGGCTGCTGTGAAGATCACACAAGAGGACATGAAGTATTCTGAAGGCTGCTGAGGCCACTGCCCCATCCCACACTGGCGCCCCAGGGACAAGTTCTCAGCCCCTTCCGAGGCTGAGGGGTTAAGGGGCTGGCCATGGATGGATGCTGCACTGGAAGGACTCTTGCTACACTGACTGTCACCTTGCCTCTCTTTCAGGCCCCAAGTCAGAACTGAAAGCAAGCCCATCCCTTCAGAGAAAATCGTGTAACATGGTGCCCCGCCTGTGTGACAGCTGCTGCATGACTTCATACTGAGATCGTTCCTTGACAGCAAGTGCTTTTCTTTGGGGCTTTCTAGTCTTCCTTCCTATGTATTCATTCTCAATACTGTTTTGGGGACGGAGTGGGAAAGAGTTTTTTCTTCAGTTATTTGATTAAAAAAACATGTAGCATCTGCAGTTCACGGGGGTCACAGTACCCTTGTACATACCTAGTGGGGAGAGTGAGGTTCTCATATGCTGGACTCTATCCCTGCACTCACTTGAGTGTGAGTGGCACCAGGACGTCCCTCCCTAGTCACACCTTCTACTCACTTGAGCTCAGGGGCCATCCTATTCTATATATATGGCCCAGACCAAAGTACATGCAGCCCCTTTTGGAACCAATAACAAGCCTGATTTATCTGCACAGACTGTAGTGTTCCTGTCATCCACTTCTGTCCATGGCCTTCAATAAATGTAACTGGTTTCCCCTCACCATCAAATGTCTGCTTTTCTTGCCCTACCTGTGGTGGACGGCCAACTGGTGGTCAACTTGTTACACCCAGCTGAACTGAACTAGCCTGGTGCTGGGTGTGGGAGGCCCTCCTGAGGACTGTTGTTGGCAGCCTGAGGCAGAACTAGAGCTGTGGGAGGTGGTTAGGGATGCTGTTCAGAGGAGCTGTTGGAGCCTCTTCGTTCTCTTGGGCTATTCTGCTGGAGGACCTTGTCATGCTGGCTTTCCTGATGAACTTGGTTGTTCTCGGTGGAAGACCTCAGGACCTCATTATCACTGAGAATGGCTGCAGTTCACTTTGGGAGAGCTCTGGTCCTCACCTTGAGCACTGCTTCCTGGCTCTGCTGGGAAAGCTGGTACACTGCTCAGCCTCCTGAAGAAACTTGTCACTGTGGCTTTTCTGATGGGAACTCAGCTTCCCTCATCAGAGCTCAGGTCCTCATAGTTGCTGAGGCTGGCTGTGGTACTTTTCAGGGGAGCTCTGGTTCTTACTTTGAACATTACTTCCTGACTCCAGTTCAGATCCCTCAGCCTAAGAGAGATCCTTCATCACACTGGTACAGACTTACTAGCTTCCACCACTAATCACTGGGCCTTCCCAGTCCAGATCTGTGAAGCGGGCCTACATGGGCCTCCAGTTGGGACTTGTGAGAGGCACTGTTACAGGCTCTAGGTTTTCAGCTGGACTCATGCAGGACATTTGTGTGAGATGCAAGTCCTCAGCTGATTTCTTTGGTCACTAGTGTATGAACCAATGTCCTGCACTCTTTGTGTATGATTCTTCAGGTAATTCATTATAATCTTATAAAATCTGTCCCGTATTGTATTGTTCCTCTTGCAAAATCCCAAACCACTATACTACCCAAGAGCTTGAAATCCAGGGTCCACCACACGGTTACATGGTGGGAGGGCTGAAGGCAGCCTCAGCATTCTGTGGTCTAAACCTTTCCCTGCACAACCAGAGGAGGCTGAAGCCCAGAGATGGAGCAACTTGACCAGTGTCGGCAAGGTAGGGTTGGAGGCTGGAGCCCCGGCCTGCAGCCCTGGGCTCTTTCCTTCACACAGCCCCCTCTTCCGGAGGTCAGGGGCTCAAGGTGGGGTGCTTGTGATTCAAACCATTATTTGGCCTCAGGCCCAAGGAGGTAATGAAACGAAGAATTTCTGCCTTGACAGGTTCTACAATGTTAACACCAGACTTTTCTATAATGAAGCATATAAGGGCATAGTTTCTACACCAGTAGAACCCAAGATACTCTTAAGGAAGTACCCTATGTTGAGGCGAGCAGAACAGAAAGCTGAGAGATTATAACAGTACAAATTCCTACAATAAAGGGGTGAACTCTGTCCTGGAAAGTGAATTCCTCCACTGCTAAAGAAAATCGCTGTGAAATTTATAAGGCCAAACTGCTCAGGAAGTGGAGCTTTAAGTGCGTGCGGAGCACCAGTAAAGTTGGGCAGAAGTCCTCTTGAGTCCCCAAATTTGAGATAATAGATTAGAACACGCCCACAGAATCACTGATGACGACTTAGACTTGAAGATAATTGCTGAAGCACTACGAGCACATTTTTCCCTGCCAGGAACGTGAGGATGAGACTGGAGACTGGTGTGGATGCTGAAACTGCAACCACTGCCCCACGGAAGCACTGAGAAAGGAAAACCATCTATGTAAAGAAATACCGGGGCTGGTGAGATGGCTCAGTGGTCCAAAGCACCTGCTTAGAACAAGCTTAGCAAATCACAGGGACTGCGGTTCAATCCCCCAGCACCACATGCCAGCCAGCCCCGCCCCCTGGTGGGCTGAGTGCTCGCACACACACACACAATTAAAAAAAAAAAGTGTCCCATAATTTTTAATCTGTGGTTAATATTGTTGTAACTTTTTTTCTATGAATATATGTAAAATATCTACCTTAATAGTATGCCTTTATAAGTGGCTTTAGTAAACATTTATAGCATTCTTTTTTAATGGCTAAATAGCATTCCACTTTTTGTTGTGCCCCATTATTATCTAACGTTTGTTCCCAATTTTTCGTGACTATAACAACATTACTAGAATTTTCTTTAGGATAAATATCTGGCAGCAAAATTAACAGGTCACTTCCTGTTCTAGCCACCTGGAATCTTCATTATCAAAGAAATCATGACAGATTGCCCTCTTTTTCCATCACTTTCCTTCCTTTTAGTAGATGGTAATTCTCCAAAATCTATCACAAAATCTTCATTTAGTTTTTTGTGTAAAATATACATACAAAAAATTTTTTTCCAAGGGCCAGCCAGACAGCTCAGAGACTAAGTGCCTGCGTAGGCGAGTATAGGGGCCTGGTTCACAGAGACCGGGTTCAATCTCCCCGAGTAGGAGAACTTACAGGCACATGTCACCAAGACCTTTTAATTTTGAAAACCAAAACTCTTTTAGAGAAGTACCCTGTGTGGGAAACTAAACAAAAGCTGAGAAACTTCCTGTGAGACCAAGAACAGCTCTTGGCCCTTCCTCTGTGAACCCATTCACCGGACCAGCACCACCAGGCACTCCAAGCACTGGGGTCTGCTCCGAGCAAGCCCCAGGGAGAGGCTCCTGCAGCAGCACAGCCGGGGCGCAGTGCTGCCTCCAGACTCCTTGGCAAGGATGAGAACCATCCCGTGACGGGCTGTTCCTTTCCCGGGGAAGAAATGTGTGAGGCTGACCATGCCAGGGCAAAAACCAGGATTCCCACCAGGAGTCACATTTTTTTTTCTCTTCAGTCTTCAGCTCACAGTTCAGCACTGCTTGGACAGAGCTACAGCTGGAAGACTGGCAGCGGGGTGGGGAATACTGAATTTTAGAAGGATTTCATTCACAAGTAAAATGGGAAATAACCACTCAGAAATTTAAAATACCAACAGAGGAAAAGTATTCATTAGAACTAGGGCTCTGGCCCAGGGAGCAAAGCAATGAATGAATGTTCAAACCATGCAGCCTAAAGCGTGCTCAAGGGTGGGCTGAGAGGACCCAGGATTGGCCTGTTCGACACACCTACGACCCCTGTGTGGGAAACTAAACAAAAGCTGAGAAACTTCCTGTGAGACCAAGAACAGCTCTTGGCCCTTCCTCTGTGAACCCAATTTTTATGGTAAAATTCAGTATTCCCCACCCGGCTGCCAGTCTTCCATATGCAAGATGCTCACAGTGCATTTATTTGGATCTTAAGAAACAGGCAGTAACTAATAACACTTCCTTCAGCCAGTCTGGGCATCAACTGTCTGTAAGTGAGCCTCGATAGGGTTCCTTTAACAAACTGCTTTTTATGGTAAGAGCCCGCCCTGCCCTCGGCAATCTCCGGTCCACCTTCGCCCTTGGGTTTCCCTTTCCTTCCAACTCCTGCTTCTCAGGTCTGTCCTAGACTTGTGGGAAAAGTCCTCTACATGGGTGTATGGGTGTGTGTGTGTGTGTGTGTGCGCGCTGTGGTGCATGCATGTGTGACCTCCTCCCACAGCCAGCTTTGCTTGGGTTTCCCCCAGATCCCAAGGCCACCTAGGCAGAGCACATGCAGAGGCTGTGAACCAAACTTCCCCGTTCTGCTATTAAGTGTGCATTCTCTGTAACTCAGTCTATCTTGGCCATAAAAAGGGGATACTAATAAAAACTCTCTCCTCCAAGGGAGGAATACATAAGTTCATACTGCTTTAATTGTCTCAGACAGCTGCTGGGATGTGGCAAAAATGTATGCTGAAAAAAAAAATGTACTGATATTTCCATAACGTGTCATGCCGATTACACAGAATGCAGCAAGCTGGGTCTGAGTCTTCCCAAGTCACCCCTTTCCTGATGGATGTCATTACCTCAGCATGGGGAGCTCAGCAGGTACCCCAACACATGGGAGCATGCCCCTTCATACATGTCTCATGATAGCTCGGTCCCTAGGAGGGGATATGAGCCTCGTCTTACCACCTGGCCACTGACCCCAACTCTCACTACCAGGGTGAGACCCAGAATGGTTGCTGTGGGCAGAAAGAGGCTAGAATCTCAGACACGCCCAAGTCTCTCCCTAAAAAAGAATCACTGAAACTCAGTACAAGTAAATTCCTACAACTCTTACCACCTTTATCACTGAGCAGGACCAACAAGCCTGTTCATCCTGGCAGTGCTGAGCACAATGGCCTTCCCACAAATGGCCCGGATGGGTTGGCAGGCTTCTGCTACCAGGCAGGCTCTCACCACGAGACCCTGGATTAGCCCAGGACAACCCCCTCCCGGTGTGTGTGGTGGAGCATCCTAGCATCAGAGTCCCCTACTTGTTAACTTAAGACAATTCCTGGCCACCAGCTCTTCTTATACTGTTGATACCACAGAATGGGATAAGATGGTGGCAGAGACAGTTAAATTCTTCCCCTGAACGCAGACTCTTAGCAAATGCAGCAGCTGGCTTTCCTCACAACGGGCACCTTGCTGTTCTCTCTTTATACCTCTGCCACCTGGGACGTTTACACAGACCCGTTGCACAGAATATTTTTTAAAGGTACATTTAATTTTTAAAAATATACACAGGAGAAGCCATGTGTTTTACATAGGAATACACACATTAACAAAGCGTTTCTTGTTTTCCAAAACTATTATAATCAGTCCGAAATTTATAAATTAAATATATCAGAATTTTTTTTAAGTTAAAATGAAATCCCTGAAACTACTGGATATGCTAGACTTTGTCCAAATTCAAATGAACACAGAATATGAGTATGGTTTTTGTTAAATAAGGTTTATTGTTAGCTTTATTGCCTATAGCTTCTAAGATGCAACTTTATTGTGCCTTTGCAAACAGGATACATCTCTTAAAAAACTGATCAAAAGTTTCCATACATATAGCTCTATATATAGATTACAGTGCAACACTATTCTTCTTACATAATTATAGAAATACTATAGAACCCAAGAGCACAGGGTAAGCAAAAGAAATACAATCCTGAGCCATCCGAACAAGATGATTTGATGAATCCTTTTAGTGTAAGTTTAGAAACACAAGGGAGGAAAAAAAAAAAAAAATACATGCACGCTGCAGTCATGAGCGAAATACCCAGACCAGCCGCCCGGGGTCCATAGGGCGGGCCGACGCGCACCCAGCACAGGCGCACGCACTCTCCTGTGTTCTTCTCCGGCTTCCCTCCCACCCTTCCCAAAAGAAAGATCAGGCACTAAATCCTAGTGAACCCCACGTCTGCCTGGCTGGAGAAGAGCAAGTGACTGCTGAAGGGAAGCGCGGCCGAGCACACAGAGCGCGTGAGCCGCTGGCCAGGGCCAGCTGCTTCAGCCTCTGGAAGTAAACGAAGTGTCTGTCCCCTCGCTAGTTCAAAAGGTGTCTTTTTAAAAACAGAGTTCCTGTTTTCTCACTGTCTTAAAGTACAGTCAACAGCGGAAAGCTCGTTTCACATCTAACTGCCTTGTCTGCTACTAAAATGCATCTGTCATTGTATTTTTGGTATCTGTTCAGTTGCGGTTCAGCAAGAGAGGTCCATGAAGTGTGCACCTGCTCGGGGTGAGCACTTCTGCGCCACTTAAGACAGCGGGGCAGGCTCGCGGAACCCCAAGGCTCCCTCGTGCTCCTGGCTAACACCCCCAAGGCCGCAGTGTCCTGGCATCACCAGAGATGACAACGCGAGCGGGGTTAAATGACGACGGGGACTTGGTTTTAGTCTTCACCTGACAGAAACATCCTTGTGATGAAACTAACCAAACCTGCCCCGAATATAACCTGAGTCTGCTGACTAAAAAGACTGACCAGTGTGGCCGACAGTCCACTCTATCAGAGGCTGAGCTGGAACACCAGAGGGCTAACGTCGTACCAGCAGCTTGCCTTGTTCCGACAAATCAAGAGTTCTTAGTCTTTGTTAGAAGACTGTCCCGAAGCCCAACACCACTGAGGTGGAAATAATTTAACAGTACAAAGAATACTGAACTTGAACTGCACAACCTATGGAGCTAACTGGAGAGAAAAAAATTAAACAAAAACAAGATCCTCATCCCCACATGATTTGGTGTGGGTTTTAGTGTCTATATATCTCAGCCAGTATAGAAAATTTAAAACAAAAAGATTTACTTCATAACATCCTTATTTTCAGTTAAAAGCTCACACATTCACAAAATACACACTATGAATATGAGGTGGCTCTTTTCTTAAAACTTTTAAATAAAGAGGCACCATTACCCGTTCATTTTTGTATTAGAAGTCTTATATAATCGTCAATAAAACAGAAATGGCATCTGTGATCATTAACGCAAAGGAGGAAAAAGCTCAAAAAGATAATCTTAGCCACGGTGAAGGGTACACCTGAACATATAGATGTTCTGGCTAAGCCAGAATCTAAAGACTTGCTCAAAGGTTTTATGGGTCAAGAATAGTCCCACAGCCTCTGTCCACTACTGGTAAACTGAAACGGCTCCCAGATGTTGAAGAAACCATTCTGAAATTATTTCCAGTGGACATAATTCATCTGACTGTAAAAAGCCTTGTCTTTACGATTACCTTTTTCGAGTGGAGGCAGAAAGAGACAGAGCATCCCCCACACTCCTGACATGGGATGCTCCAGCAACGATGCGGTCATGGCCCCACCTGTGAAGGCTCTCTAGAGTAGGAAGGACAGAATGTTGTGCCTCAGCATCTTTGGTTTTAAGCTCTGGCCTCTCTGAACCCACCTCTCCTATATATCTCGTCTCTGCTATGTTTTAAGTGTCCATGTACTTGAAGGTTACAAGACATAACTTTCATGGTAAATTATCAGACCAAAAATTTCCATTTTTTGGCTCTCTTCCTGCCCAGTGTGGTACACAAGGACCGTACCCAGCACACTGTTAAGTTTCATGAGCTGCACCGGGAATGGATTCCCCACACTAGGAGAGGGATACAGCAGGAATCTAGCCTTTGTCCTGAAAGTGGCCTGAGCCAACCGCGTGAAGGGTCTTGCTGCCCAAATATTTACCACCAGCCTCTAGAGCACAACTGTACTGCCCAAACCTTACATGAAGCCTCATGGTTGGGTGGATGCGTGAGGTGCAAAGGTAAGAATAAGATGTGAATCAAGCTAAACTTGGCCTAGGGAGAAAGAAATTAAGAAACAAAAACAAAACACTCTAGAATTCAATTCAAAGGAGAAAGTATCTAAGTAAACCAGTTTATACCCTCAACAGAGTACTGCCTGGCATCCTCTCCCTTCTCTTTCGCGGTCCAGGAGCTTGTCTCAGTCTCTTCTGTCACTGCTTTGGTACAGGGGGACTTTACAGGTGGTTCCAACAGCGAAGCAGAAGTCACTGTGGGCCAGACTGAGCCTGCACAGAGCCAACACTCCGACCTGGGCCAGTCCAGAGTCCTGGCAAACCTCACAGCACCGAGCAGCCCTCAACACGAACCCGACCATGCGGCACTCCACGGGAAGTCTCTGCGGTACCCTCCCCCTCCCCAGTGAAGCCCAGCTCTCCCAGGTAAACATTTCAGCACAAACCATCTGGGCCGGTGACTGTGGGTGTTGCCAATGTGCGATTAACTTAGCACCAAATCTGCTGTGCACCCTTTTCCCTTAAATTAAGTCCATCTGTGGCCTAAAAGGAGCACGCTTTTCTCTGCTTCTGTTTTCTTCTTTTTTCAGTTTTGCATGAAAGTGTTCCTATATTGATACTCAGTTCCACGTCAGATGAAATAAAGTAAGTATTTGGTGATTTCCATGTAACATTTTTCTTACAATGAAGCCACTTCATGGGTCTTCAAAGTCAGAATTACATCCACTGAAGTCTTCCATGTAGTTCCTCATACAGAGAAAGTCTCTTTTACATAGCTCTTCCTAGAGAGTGCATTAAATGAAGATACTTCACCAAAAAAAGATCATTATCTGTATCCATTTGAGTAACAGATTCACAGTCAATGAGATGATAAGCTTTGCAGGAGAGCGGCATTGAACAGTAAGTACACTAATCAAACACAAAAACAGCAATAAACATGTTCTGCACTATAGCAAAGTTGCTAGCTTCTAACGTTCAGGACGTAGGGTGACGGGGTGATCACCGCACTGTGGCCTGGAGCATGCTTTCCCTTCCAGACACACGACGTGCGACGCTGGTGCACAGCTCTGTATATACACACGCACCGCGCCAGCCGGCCAGGTCCTGCGGGCAGGCTTCAAAGGACAGGGCTACCAGGACCAGGAGAGCATGTGTCAACTTAAGAAACACTTCTAACTTCCAAATTTCAGTTTATTGAATGCATTTAAAACAAGCACCTCTTGGTATAAAAGCAAAAAATCCAATAACACCCCTTCCACCTAAGTAGTGGAAGACTTCTCCCACCAGCCTGCTAAATTCATGACAGAATTTTACACAGGCTTCAGGTAGAGCTCAAATGCAGGTGTGTGGAATTCTAGGCGCGAGCTGGAGCATAGGAAAACGTCAAAAAACAAATTTGGGATCTACCACAGCTTTCTTCTTTAAGCAAAACCAGAAATACAAATTAGGTTTACAACCACAACTGGATCTGTTCAAACTTTCTTTGAAGGTTTTTTCAGTTAATTATGCATAAGCAGCAGAAAACAAAATTTTGCACAAATGCTCTCAAGGCTTACAATTATCAAGAAAATGACACTAAAGCAGGAATATTAAACACATGGAGGGAAGCTCATTTTCTGTTTCTGCTCTGAAGTTGTAAAAAAACCACCATATAATTAAGTACAAAAACCTGCACTAAATGACAACTGCTGGTGTATTTACTTGATCAGAAATGAAGACCAAGAGTATAATAAAGCCCTACGGTACACTCGGCTGGGGCGCTTCCCTCGGTGTGCACACTAGCGAGTTGGCAAGCTCCGGGAGCGTTAGCTTATATAAACACGGGGTCCTCAGTGAGCTGCACTCAAGGCAACGCTCTCTTCTTGAAACGTACCCACAATTCAGTTTCACTTACAAATCAATAAACTAAATCCACTTCTTCAGAAAAATATCTGTTTGGCATCTCCTGGACTTTGTTCCATTGGACAATATGGACATTTTAATCTGAAAACAAGACAGAAAAGACTGAATCAAAGAACAGTCTCCATACTGAGCACTCAATTTTCATCTAGTCCTAGAACATCTTAAAACAATTTGACACGCACAGCACACGCTTCAGTATTCTGCTCAGAGGATTAACCATGCTTTCTTTCCCTCAACGTACTGCTAGGCTTTCAAGAGTCACACGTAAACACTCTCCTGCTGTGGAAATCTGTAAAAACTGTTTTTTAAACAAAGACAACTTTTCTGAAAATTGCTTCAGATCCAATTTTCCTTAAGTTTACAGCGCACCTGTCTAAATGAATTTCAAAGTGTGGATTACACAACCTGTGCAAGGGAGGCTATCTGGATGCCAGGCACTCGTGCCACACCAAGAACACCCTGCATATCTCATTTGTGGCATCAGAAACCAGCATAGGCTCAACCTAGGACCACTGCTCGGCCTGGCCTCTACGGTACCCGAGCTGCTTCAGTCTAGGAAGAACACAAAGGGGTGCCCAGCTAGAAAAGGGCTTCTCAAAGTTTCTGAAGAGTTGAGCATAGGATGGGCACAGCAGCAGATAGCTGCAACCCCAGCATTCAGGAGGCTGAGGCAGGAAAGAAATATAAGCGGCCAGCCTGAACTATGGTGAAGCCGTTTCCCAAAAAATAAATAAATAAATAAATAAATACCTAAATACATTTTCATGCAGTGAAATACTCCACACCCGCCCCCCCCAAAAATTCCCAAGACAAATGACTAGGTTAAAAAATGCTAAATGGGAAGGGGATACACTCACACTAGAAGAGCTACAGATCATGCTTAGAGATCTAACCATGAATAAATTAAGCAGATTTGTTGACAAAAGATCGGATACTATTCACTTTGCAAAACAGCTAAGAAATCTATCCCTCAATCTATCCACATTTATACAACTATTTAACGTTACTTCTCCCACCAAGTTCCACACTCACTAACATTTAAGCAGTCCAACACTTACTTGCTACCATTAAACATTTTATTCAGGGCATCCCTTGATATTATATGGCCACAGACCAACTTCATGGGTGGGTTGTTATCTGTTGTTTGCTGGCGAAGGATGGGACACGCAAATATGGAGTGATACCAGCACTTTTTACCAAGGTCAACTTCAATCTGCTCAAAAACGAAAATGTAAAAAGGTTAGTTACATTTCAGAAAACCTCCAGGCACAAACTTTATTTGGGATTACGGGCATTTGCCACCACGCCGTCTCAGGGCTGGCACGGCACAGCCAGGGTTCCAGGGGTCGGCTCAGCACATGCGGTACTGGGGATCGAAGCTGGGTCCTTGTGCTTGCCAGGCCAGTGCTCAGGCTGCTGAGTGCTCTATCTCCCCAGCCCCTATCCCTGTTTTTTGCAGTACCAGGGACTGAACCCAAGACTCTGTGTTTGCCAGGCAGCCACATATGCTGCTGAGCCAGCTCTTTGGCTACCGTGAACTGTGCTGCTATACACACAGCTACGCACGTGCTGCTATGGGATGATGCTGTTAACACTTCCAAACCCGCGGTGTAGCACATTTAGCTCGGTAACAAAATTCAGTGCAGTAAGTAACTTCTCCCTTTGTTTTTAATTTTTATTTTTTGAGGCAGGGTCTTTCTACATAGCCCAGGCTGGCCTCAAATACAGCACTCCTGCCTGAGCCTCCTTAGTGCTGGGGTTACAGGTGTGCACCTCGCCCAGCAGGCACCTCCTTCCAAGGCAGCGTAAACATGGCTTAGATCTGCATGCACTTCAGATCTGAGATTCCCAGCATTTGAGCGTGATGATCCTCAGAAACCACCAGTAATAGGGCAGCAAAACAAGTTTCAAAAGGGCCTTTTGCAATCTGCACACCAAAGTCCACAGCATTTGTACCCATTATTTCTTTGCTGCAAAAGAAACAAGTCCTATGGAAGCCATGAAATCACCTAGCAGGGCAGCCGGCCTGTGTCTGAGGCTCTGAACGCTAGCGTTCCTTCTAAATCTAAAAATGCCAACCAGAATTCAGGTCCATCACTGAGGCTCTTTTGGGAAAGTTGACAAGAATCCAGCAGAATAATGCTGACGGGAAACAGCGGGTCACCCTGCATTTCAGGCTGCTCTGTCCGATGCTGGGGGGCATTGTCACACACAGCATAGCTGGGCACTGCCAGCTGGCAGTCCCCTTTCTCAGGAAGGGTGTGGGAGCTTGAGTTCTTTCCCCTTGTTCAAGTTAGCTGCACTGAGCAGGTGCTGCTTGTGTCCGACTATATTCGGGGCTAGAAGGGCGCCTGTGTCTTTAACCACAGGAAGATCTTCGAGGGGACGCTGGGGCAAGCAACTGCTAGGTTTGCCAGCTGGAACAACAAGGGAGCCGAAGATAAATCTGTGGCCAGTGCGGCAGAAAGAAAAGCCTAAATGCATGTGTCGGCCTTTTCACAGCTAGGAGCATGACGAAGGGATGACAATTCCAGAAGCAACACATACTCTACACGCCAACTGTGCCCTGGCAGCCACCACGCAAGTGCTGCAGTGTGCCTGTTGGCCCTCATTTTGTTTTTTTAATTTTTTAAAAAAATTTTGTGTGTGTGTGTGTGTGTGTGTGTGTCCAGCTCAGCCCACCATGGGGCGGGGCTGGCTGGCATGTGGTGCTGGGGGATTGAACCACGGTCCCTGTGCTTTGCTAAGCTTGTTCTAGGTAGGTGCTTTAGACCACTGAGCCATCTCACCAGCCCCATTGGCCCTCATTTTAGAAGTGAAACTACGACTGACACAGGTGGTTGGCACTAATGTTTAAAACCAGAGCACTAGGGCTGGCACGATAGCTCAGCAGACTAAGCACCTGATTTGGCAAGCGCAGGGACCAGGGTTTGATCCCTGGTCCAACATGCCACACTGGACCCACACCTGGGGCACGCTCAACCAGTGATTGAGTCCAGGAGTGGTGGCACAGACCTGTGATCCAAGCACTGGGGAGGCTGCAGACAGGAGGATCACTACGAGCCTGAGCTGCATAGTGAGACCCTGTACCAAATACATAAATGAAAAAATAAAACCACAACACTTTCCATGACAGCAGTGACACAGAGTACTGCAGGTCATAGCTGACTGCAAATGCTAAAGGGGTGACTTCAGCTCTAACAGTTACGTAAGAGTTACTTCTTCTAACTGGTATGAGGGAAAAAGGCACCAGCACAAGAGCAGGGCTGCACCAGTGCCAATGTTTGAGACCACACGAAATCCAGTTCCACTGACAGACTGCTTTTTATATTTAAGAAAAAAACAGCGCAAGTTCTGTGAACTGCATTCTAGAACACCCTGAGTGCTACAATATGTATAGATCCTCCCTACATCTTATGTTTTTCCTCACTGGCTTTCATTGCTACTTTAAGTCAAAAATTCCAGAACATTCCTCCAGTGCCTCCAAGTTATTAGTTATTAGGCTTTTCAGCTATTTGGGGTGGGTGAGGGGGTAGGAATGGAACCCAGGGCCTTACAATAAAGCATTCACTCTATTACTGAGTACTACACCAACCCCTCATCTGTTTTTAATCCATGCATATATGTACATAAAAACCACCTGCCAAGTGGCTTCAGTAGTGTTTCCTGGCTAAAGATGGGAATTTAAAACCCTTTAAATGTGGTCTTTCCTTCTGGAAGGAAGTGTTAAATCAGCAGAAAATGAACTCACAGGCAATTCGTCTTTTTGGTTCCAAACTCCAGTGCACTGCCTCTGTTCAATCACAGCTTTGATGTTAATAAGAGCCGGCAGCGCCACACAACCTGCTGAGAAACTAGAGAGGAGGAGAGGATGCATCAGAGCCAGCCAGGCGCCCGGACGTCTTGTGCTGCGGCCCGGCCCCTGGGCAGACACAGAGACCTCTGCTTTGCTAAAAGCAAACCTGGCCAGTTCTTTTTATTTTTTTGCGGAACCAGGGATTGAACTCAGGCCCTTGCACTTGCCAGGGAAGCGCTTATTCTACTGAGCCATCTTCCTAGCCCCTGGCCAGTTCTGCTAGAGGAAATAGAACATCTTTCTCCCTTCTCCATCCCCCAGACCCACTGGTATACTTTATGTTACTGAAAAAACAATCCTTGCTTCAACACAAAACCCTAAAAATTACTAAATAAGCCTTACCAATATGGAAGAAATGAAGTTTAAAAAAAAAAAAAAAAACCTTAAAACGAATGCTAAAGCGATCGTTTTCTGAACGATGGATCTGCAAGGCAGACACTTGTAACAGAAAAGCATGCAGGCTTGGTAGCAGGGCCAGCAGGGGATCTGACAGGAGGGCACGGACCCCGTCAGCGCAAGCAGAAGGGCCCAGAGCTGCCGCGGCCATCCTGATCGGGAAGGAAAGGTGCCTGGCAGGACTCGCTACCCGGCAGCTCATAAAATATAACGCTTTTGCCTATTCTCCCCCGTGTATGCCACACACACAGATCGTGTACATACTTCAATCTATTTTTCTTGTAAAATGTGCTCCTATGCACTTTTATCAGACCAGTAATATTCAAAACCTGGCCTGCAGACTGGTGCTTGTTTACACACCCAGCAAAAGTATACAAAACTTGCTCACTCCAGGAGCACATATACAAAAGTAGATAAAACCGATTATCTTTTAAAACATTTTATATAAAAAAACCCATGATATTAATGGGCCAGCCAGATAGCTCAGCAGACCAAAGCGCCTGCTAGGAAAAGCACAGCGGCTGGGGTCGCATCCCCAGCCTGCCATGCTGGCCCCACTACTGGGGTGCGCTGAGACTGCAACTGAGACTGGGCCTGTGGGGGAGCGCCCATAATCCCAGCACTTGGGAGGCTGAAAACAGGAGAATCACTACGAGTCTGATCTGTGTAGTGGGACACTGTACTAAATATAAAACCAAAAAAAAAATGATACTAATGATGAAAACCTTTAATATTTTACACTGGCCAGAACTACAGGGCTCTGCTTAGCAGTCACTAACGACATGTTTCTTGCACAGATTTCTGACTGAGAACATCCCTGTCCAGGGGCCAGTGCCCACTTCTCAGCTGTGGAAGTGTCTGCAGCCAACCCTCAGCCTTGTTCCAGTAACTCCAATCCAGGACATCGGTGCTCCCCACCGATAGGTGGAGACGCCACGCCCCAATTTTTCTCTGCCTATCCCCCTTTTCTCAGGGAGTGTTACTGGAAATTGAACGCAGAGCCTCACACTGGTGGGCTGCACTGGTGAGCTACACTCTGGCCTGCCCAACCCTGCTGCTCTACCCAGTGCTAAGGTACTGACCCCAGTGGGCTTCCCACACACACATCCTCATGTCAGTGATGTCCCCCAGAGAACCTGATGGTGGCAGCACAGCACCTGACACTGTGCAGCTCACGCACAAGGGACACTGCAGGATGTGGACTGTACCTCACTCCTCTGCATGCCACACAGTGCCTGGCACACAAGGCAGAATCAGAATGATCTGGGACTAAATGAATGGAAGAGCTACAAGTTATTTTGCTAGAAAATTCATTTTGTTTCAGGATCCTGCAATCCCAGCACTTGGGAGGCTAAAGACAGAAGGATCACTACGAGTCCAATCTGTGTAGTAAGACCCTGTAGACCCTCTACTAAATACAAAAACATAAAAAAATAAAAATCTGTGATACTATCATCAATCTCATCAGAAAAGTCTTCATGTAAACAGAAGATGACAAATGTAGTCAAGCATAGGAGGTTTCAAAATTATTAATTTTAGCTGAAAGTCTTCTTTTTGAAAGTCTTGAACTTAACTGGTGCCAAGATACTTGTCAGTCGCTTTAACGAATGTATTTCCTTCATTTAGAAAAAGTCAAAAACCTGAGCACAAATAAGTGGTGTGTCTGTTACTGATTCTCTCAGGTAAAATCCATGCTTCAGAGAAAGAGTAACTAGCTGGTTCATGTAGCTCAAATGACATTCAGGTGTGCTTTTTCTCAGGGCAATCACCATGTAACAGCATACAGCTAATGTATTGTTAGCAAATTTCCAATCACGGAGTATTAAAAAAAAAGATACTCAAAAGTCAGGATTCTCTACAATTAATGCTTCACTGGAACACTGTCAAGTACGAGCAGCATGTCTTAGATGGCAGACACTTGGTGGTGAGCAAGACAGCAAGCGGGAGGATAGCAAGGAGGCCCCAACTCACGCATGGCGCCAGCGTTTAGCCTCTACTGTAACGGCCCCATCTGGGCCCACGTCGGCAGCACGGCAAACGCTCTCGGAACACATGAAGCTCACATGCTTTGGCTATCCTCTCCCTAAAGCTGTCACTGTCAACTGCCGCAGTCCGTCAAAATACCAGCGCACACGGCAGACAGACCTCCTCCCGGCTCTCATCACTCCCGGTGGCGTCCCAGTTCACTACCAGATGGGCGCTTTTCCATACCTGACGCTCAGTGGGGACTCCACAGACAGCCCCAGAAGGGCACAGGCGTCCCGAGTGAAGATGTCGCAGATGTCAGCCCACTGGTTTGCATCGAGCAGGTGGACGTAGGGCGAGTTCTCAATCCCTTGTCTCAGGTACACGAGGCTTCCCATCAACACCTGGATGTCTACATGAAAAGGCAACCACAATTTGGATACTCACACCTGAAATAGTTTACTCAAAGAAAATACTGAACTTCCAACTCAGTTGTGGCAGTGCACGCTGCTGATTCCAGCACTCGGGGTGCTGAGCTAGGAGATCACTGTGAGTTCAAGGCCAGCCTGAATTACAAAGCAAGACTCAGTCTTAAAAAAAGAAGGAAGTATTGAACTTTTCGTGTTTTACACTTGTTTTGTATTGGGTTTTGTGACAAAATCTCATTATGTAGTTCGGGATGGCCATGAATTCGACAGTGACCCTCCTGCCACAGCTTACCAAGTACAGGGATTAAAGGTTAGCACCACCACACCCAGAAAGTGTTCTACACTTATTCCTAGTGTGGCATAATCATTCTTTCTCAGTCTCCTCAGAGTGTAAAAGGGAATCCTCAGAACTACAATGTCTCTTTCAAGCTTTTCAATTTAGAGGCTTACTATTGTTTTACAGCCCGTCACAACTCTTTTGGACGAGACAGTCATCCACAGCTGTTTCAGTTCATTAGCAAATATGTACATCAGACACAGTTAAGATAAACTAAACTTCACTGGTGGCAACAGCCAGCATTATGACATCTGACCCTAGACTCACCTTTTTTTTTGCGGAACCGGGGATTGAACTCAGATCCTTGCGTTTGCTGGTCAAGCGCTTATCCTACTGAGCCATCTCCCCAGCCCTAGACTCACCTTTTTGATGATTTAGGGCAAACGGCTGGAAGTTTTTAGCATACTGCAATGCCTCTCGCTGGTTTGTGGTTCCACCCATTAACAAGCTAATAAAATAGAGCCGGTGTAGCTTAAACTCCAAGGAGCTGTTTTGCGCTATGAGCATTTCTCGGTTTGATACTGCCCACCTAGAGAAGGGGAAAAAGACAATTGTAACAATAATCAAGAATACAACCAAGGTGCATCTGAAATTGTTTGAAACGTAGGAATGTAAAATAGGGTTTGCTGCCATCTCCTGGAAGGCTGTGGTTATATCAACCCCCACGAAGAGACCTGTGAAGAATGCAAGCTTAACCCTCTCCCCAGACAGGGTCTAGGTGATGGGCACTTATTTAGTAAAGTTCTCCAAAACTCAACAGTGAGGAGCAACGTGTCACCTGATGCACCTGGATTCAGACAGGAGGGCACTGTGCAGCACGCGTCAGCAGGAGCGGCATGACCTGCCTGCCCGGGGTAAGCCCCCTGCTCTTCCGTCTGAACTGACGTGTGGGCTGTGAGCATGTATGATCAGAGTACACCTAAGGCCCTGAGGTCCAGCTGATACCATTAAATAAATGAACTAGCTTGTTTATAAAAACGAACCAGAGATTCTGAAGGGGAGCCACTTGTTTTTAAACTTTCACTAGTGAAAGATTTTGTAGTATTCACTTTAGGATTAAAAATGTTGCTTCTCCAGGCACTTTCAAGGTATACCAGAAGGTAGAGCTACACAAAGAATTATCTCCCCCACACCTAAGAGATTAGTGCGGGTATAAGGTAAAGAGCAGAGCATTACTCAGCTCTGAATGAAGCACAGCGGCTTAGGCCTCCACTGACAGCCTGAGCAGTTGGAATCATCCATCCTGAGCTGGGAGCACTACTAGGTCAGGGAGCAATAAAGCAGAAAAATACCTCAACCAGGAGTCAAAATCAAATTGTGCAATAAAGGGATAAAAAGTATCATTTCTCTAAAATATTCAAATACAGAAGCTATTAGCACCTTACATTTTAAGTCGACCCTTTGTTGGACAAATACTCTTAGGTTAGCCCGCTTCACCAAACACCCCTGGAATCAACTGGATAGGAGTATAAATTCTGCGCAATGCAACAAACTACAAGAGTGCGTCGAACTCTCCACAATGAAGCAGCCGACTGGGACTGGGCTTCGAGGAGCGGCCCCTCTCTTCTCGACCCCACTTCTCCCAGAAAATGGCTGCACGTGCACGTCTCCTCCCCTGCTGATGCAGCCATGTCCTATGCTCAAGTCATTACACTTCTCTGAGCCCAAAGGCACAGGATTAAGTTATTAATAATCTTAATCTTAGAAATATTTAAATTTAATTAAGGCAAGGGTCCTTGCCTGGCACAAGTGGTATGAGGTGGCAACACGACATCAGACAAAGCCTGCGGACAGCGATGCGGCGCAGGCCCCATCCTCTGCAAACGTCTGTGCTCCTCCACACTACGGCCCCTTCTGGGCTCCTGGTTCCAAGGAAGGCACGTAGATCTGGCTGCTACAAAAGCTGAGCCTATGCCCTCAACTCACAACAGAATGAGTGTTTTCCTACTAACGTGTAAGGAGGAACGATAATCTTTTTTTTTCTGATGTAAAGATCAAACAAGGGAATTAAAGAGAAACTACAAATTTTAATAGAAATTAAAGCCAATTTTTTAAAAAGTGCATTAGTAGGTATTTCACACAAAAGAGACAACATTTTATTTCCACAGGAGACTATGAATGATCTAGGTTAAAGGAACAGGAAAATATGATACGCAGAAAAGGACTTTTAGAAACCAGATATTTAATGAATAATTACTCTACAGAAGCTGGACTTCAAGCATTATTTATGAGCTGCTACAGTATGGGCACTGCTATTACACCACCACAGAGCATGGGTGGGGCTGCAGGGTGGGGGGCTGGAGGACAGCAGCCCCCAGCACAGCCACTGGCCTGTGCTTCCCACAGTGAACACTGTGCTTTATATTTTAAACTCATTATGCCAATGAATAAATAAAATTTCGTAGCTTCCTCTTTTCCATAAAAAATCTGAGTGATTACTAATTACTTTTCCTTAAAGTAACTCAAGCTCTAAATTATCAATTTTGAACTTGGCAAGTGAAATACCCATGTTCTTTTTTTTCTTTAAAAATCCTCGGATAAACATTTGCTTAGACAATCCAATTCTTTTTTTTAATTTTAGGAAAGGGTCTACAGGGTGGTAAGGGTCTTACTACTACATCAGACTCATAGTGATCCATCAGTTTACAGCCTCCCAAGAGCTGGGATTACAGGTGCATGAGTCACCACGCCCAGTCTCAACTGTCAGCTCAGCACACCCTGGGGACAACGAGGGCACAGCAGGCCTGGGGGTCAAACCCCGGGCTCCTGTGCCTGCTTTCAAATGTTTTAATCTGCTGAGCTATTTGGCCGGCCCTCGACAATGCAATTCTTAATTTAGTACTTGAATTTATTTTAACAAATTTTCCACTTCTGCCATTTTGGGGGCCTGGCCCTAGCTCAGGCCTTTAAGTGGCTGCTTCCACAAAGCTGTCAGCCTCAGGTTGCTGGAGTTCGAACCTCACACCTCTCCCGCTGGCCAAAAGTGCCCTGAAGGCATTCGAGGAACCAAAAAAAAAAAAAATTCCTTATTAAAAAAAAAAACAAAAAAAAAAAAAACACTTCTATTTTAACAAATTTTCAAAGTTTCCTACAAGGATATAAAATAATCAGAAAAAAATAGCATTAATTCCTCTATGTTCCCCACCACAAAATGTTTAGAAAAATAAAAAGGCAACCATACAAAGGAATTGGGAGAGCCAGGCATGATGGTGCGTGCCTATAATCCCAGCACCCAGGAGGCTCAGGCAGGAGGAGAACCAGTTTGGGGCCTGCTTGGGCTATCTGGTGAATTCAAGGTCAGCCTGAACTACCTAGCAAACCTGTCTCAAAGAACCCAAACAAAAAGAACTGGGAAGGAAAGGAAGACATCGCAAAAACCCAAATTCATGGAGGCAAGTTTTCATGGTGGCTGGGCGCGAGGCATACTGCCAGGGAAGAGCTCTGACACTGAACTTCATACATACTTGTGACCTCATAATCGACCCTAAGGCCGTGTTTCTTCTCATTCTACTCTTAAACAACTGTCTTTAACTTCTCAATACCTAAAAAAAATCTTACAAGGCAAGATTTCTAAGCTTCTTTCCTAGCAAAGTATCATTCTCAGACTGGGCATGGTGGCGAGTGCCTGTAATCCCAGCTCTTGGGAGGCTATAAACAGGCAGATCACTATGAGTCAGATCACTATGAGTGAGACCCTGAACACCCTGTAGACCCTTCACCAAAATTAAAAAAAAAGTATTCTCTAATCTAAAGGTGCTACACCCCACTTCTACTCTACCCCCCCCCCACTCAAACACATTCTGTTCGGACCGCTCTGTCACCCCCTCAGGACTGTACCCCTGAGCCTACAGCTGTATTTCCCAATTCCCTGGGGACAGTGACCTAGCAGACAGCACAGGTTTTAATTTAAAGACATTTCCCATGCCGCCTTTCAAGCAGTCCGTCAGCCTCCCTTATCGACACTCTGCACCTTGTCCTTCCTGGTATCAGTTCTCACCAGGCTGCCTTCTCTGCTGTGCGCCTTACCCAGTGGCCGGGCCCGGGGCACATGGTTCCTGGCCACAATCTTACCCAGGTCAGCAGCTTCGAGCTGAGAGACAGCTTTCCCAGGCAATAAAGTTCTCTCCTTCAATCCTTGTACATTATCACTGTCTTCTTTCAATGGAGGCAGCCAACTTCACCACTTTGGCCTCAATATTAGCCAAAGTGATGTCTTGTTATTTTTTTAAGAAGGGTCTCTGAATGAGAAGCAAATGCTCCGCTAAGGCAGGAGCAGCATTCTGCGCACAGTGCAATCTGAACGAAACGAGAACGGAGCAACTTCATCTTCGTTTTTATGGTCCCCAGACTTGCACCTCAGCTTCCTACAGGCTGAGGTCCTGTCCTAGCTCCACTCGGCTATCACTTGTTCCCAAATCTTTTTAATCATATCCCACTTCACCTGTAGACCATATCTCTCTTTCAGTTATCCACTTTTATAAACTTCAGTACAGACAAAAAAATTCAATTATAAATGATGAACTGGAAGTTCTTTACTATCATTTTCAATAAGAAAATTAAAACATAATAATTACTTGCGTACTTCCACATAATACCGAAAGTTGCTCTGAGTTTTACAGTGTCGACTATCTTGGGGTAAACTATATGCATGTACTGGTTGATCTTCTTCAAAATGTGAAATTTTCTTAGCTAGAAAAAAAACAATGAGCGAGGCATGGTAGCACACACCTGTAATCCAAGCACTCAGGAGGCTGAGACAGGAAGACCCATCCAAGTTCAAAGGCCAGACTGGCCTATATAAACAAAACAAAACAAAACAAAGTAATACAACCTAGGAATTTGACTCACCAAGGAAAACATAATTCTAATCTTTTTTTTTAGACAGGGTCTCACTGTGCAGTTCAGGCTGATCTCGAACTTACTATGTATGTAGTAGTGCAGGCTGGCCTCAAACTCATGGTAACCCTCCTGCCTCAGCCTTCCATATGCTTGAATTACAGGTGTGAGTCAGTACACCTGATTATAACCTTAATCAACCTGGTAACAGTCAAATTCAAAAACTACCAAACAGGCAAAATTACAAAAGCACTAAATTCTAAATGCACGTTAACATCCTAACTACCTGCCAACAAAGTACCAAAAGCACATGTAACCCACATGACGAGATGGTGAGCTATTAGGGAAGAGTGCCACATGTGGACTACAGCATTTCCAACAGAAGACAGCTGGCTTTTAATTACAAAAGCATTTCTACTATACCAAGCCAGTAAGCTTAGCACTAAACATATTTACTTACTAACTCCGCTAATTTTCTTTTTCTTTTTTTAAAATTTTATTTATTTTTTTATTTTGTGCGTGGCCAGCTCAGCCCACCAGGGGGCGGGGCTGACTGGCATGTGGTGCTGGGGGATTGAACCACGGTCCCTGTGCTTTGCTTAGCTTGTTCTAAGTAGGTGCTTTAGACCACTGAGCCATCTCACCAGCCCCAAATATATATTCTTTTTTTTTTTTTTTTTTCCCGGAACCGGG